TCAGATTTTTCAAATTTAAAGAAGCATAATGAAAGGAGTCTGACGTAGTGGAAGTAAACAACAGAACCAAATTGGTAGACACAGCCTTTGCTGCAACTGTAACTATGGGGAAAAGAAAACACCTGTGGACAGTAATCTCAGTTTTTTGGAAACTGTGTTGATATCTAACAAGGAAACAGACTGAAAAATTTTAGGTTGTTCCCGTCAGCGAATCAAACGGATCCGGTGATTATTTGGCTTGGTGATGGTCCAGCGTGCAGCGCACTTTATGATGCAGTGAACAACATCGGCCTGTATCGGATCGACCCAAGCGGAATGTTGCTTTATGAAAATCCGTACTCTTGGGATCATGTGAGTGATTCATAATTCGATGTATTAAAGCAAGTTCAAAACTTTTGTACGGGTGATCACCGGTGAAAGCAGATGGGAAATTCAGCTCTGAGGCGAGAGCAGAGGAACGAGAATAGTTGGTGCATCTGTTCGTGATCATGTAAGCAATCAGGCTTCCACTGGATAAGCGACGAGCAAAATATCATTCTAACCATACACGAAACGAAATCCGACAATCAGGACATATGCCTAATATGGCTCGCTTTGTTGGGACCGGTAAACGTTGCTTATTAGCGAATGATGCACGGACAAAAATACGACCAATACGGCTAATAGAAAGTTGACATACATGCACCGAATGATGGTGGACGCTAACTAGTGGCATGCAACTCAGATGTGAGCTGCACCCGGGATTTGAAAGCAACCCACTAGTTATACTAAGTAGGGTTTTCCGCTGCGATTGTACGAGCGGTTTTTACCTCCGTTTTAGTCAATCATCACACTATTTTCTGTCAGTATTTATTCAATATATCAGTGCTTTTAGCTCTTTTCTTTAGCAGTTTCCCAGGACAGCAACCTGGAGCGTTGCCATTTGATGTTTTATTCAGTGTCTGTGTTGAGTCTCGACCATCTGAATGCTATACCGAGTAGAGAAAATTATTTATTTGTCTGTTTGTATGGCTGTTGTTTAACTGTGCGATTACGTTCTATATTTGGGCATTCTGCGTATTAGATTTGACGGTTGGCTGAGGTGTGTAAGACT